TACCAAAGCAATGCGCTCTTGCCGAAATCTTAAGAGTACGCCTACCAAGTTGCTGATTACTTCTGACCCTTTCAACAAGTTGTCGTTCAAAGAAACACCTCTCCATTTCGCGGCACAATCGAACACCACTCTTACTTTGTTTTTACGTGGATGGGTCACTGGATGATGGGGTAGATACCACACATTACCTTCTACGCCTTTCTGGTCTACGACTGGTTCGGCATGTCCCTTCGATATGTACGTTTCTACAGTCTTGACATATTTACTCTTCAAGTCATCATCTCGGTCTAGTTTACGTTTCAAACTCGCCAACCTACTCTCTGCCATGGGCTTGTTACATGGTAAGGGATGACTATCATACTTCCAAAGAAGTACTAATTCGTAGTGTTTGGTATCTAGCAAAGTTGTCGTTGTAGCTAAGATATCTCTTGCTTTTCTGTCTTCAACAGAAACTTCTAGGCCTTCATTGTCTAGTTCCCACGTACGCTGCAACTGCTGCATCAGTTGGTCATTCGTCACAGAAACAGTGATTCGATTGGAGATCAGTTTCTTCTTTGTAGCATTCCCTGGACCCATTACGCACCATCCAAGGGAGGTTCTAATGCCGTATGGTTCTTTCGCTTGACCTCGCCTTTCTTCATGAACCCAGAACGCTTCGGGCGTATCAGCGCCTATGAGTAGTTGGACATCTTGACCTGCATCGACATCTATGGGCAAGTCCTTAAGGTGATCCCAAGAGCGTAATTCTTCTCGAATCGGAATCGAATCTTTCCCAGCCGGAACACTTTCCACTGTTAACACTTTCAATGACAATTCTTTCATCTCTTGTGTACCACTGACTTTCACGTCAAATGAAAAGCCTACCTTATCTTCGTTACCATTTACTGTTGTCGCAGTGTATCTAACCTTCTGTCCAGCGACACCAAGTTTCCTTCGCAAAGCTTCGGAGCAGAGACTGGAGTCTGAACCGTTGTCTAGCAAGGCTAATGTCCTTACCCTGTTCCCGTTGCT